GGGGACGACAGAGGATGAGATGGTTGGACAGTGTTCTTGAAGCTACCAGCATGAGTTTGACCAAACTGCAGGAGGCAGTGGAAGACAGGAGTGCCTGGCGTGCTCTGGTGCATGGGGTCACGAAGAGTCGGACACGACTAAACGACTAAACAACAACAACACAAGTATGATGATGATGATGATGATGATGATGATCATACATTAAAAACCAAACATCTCTATGCCAAAATAAAGCTGAGCCCATTCCAGATATAATTGTGGCGATACCAAAAATTGGCCATCGAATTCAAAGAGTTTCAGCTGAATGGCAGTGGTGGAAATAACTACAGTGGAACCTCTACTTACGTACGGCTCTACTTACGTACGATTCCAGTTACGACCTTCAGTAGGTGCTTCAACTTAGGAACTTTCCTCTAGATACGAACAAAGGCCTTGCCAGCAGCCCAGAGCTCACCCGGCCAGCTGCGGAGCAGCGCTGAGGCCTCTGCTGCCAGGGAGAGGGCCCCCATCCCACCCCCGAAGCTGTGGAAGAGGTGCTGCCAGCAAGAGGCACAGCAGGGCGCACTGCAGCCCCAAACCCCGCCGGGGAACTAACCTGAGGAAGTCCAGAGAAGAACCTGGCCTGGCAAGAAAAAAAAAGTGACCATGGCCAAAGTGAATCAGCTCTTTACTGTACCTTGCCCCACCTCCAGCTTGTAGCCAGGTAAGCCCGCCCACCCTCAGAGCATGTAAGAAAAGGAAAATGTTAATTTTTTTCATCTACAATACTGTCTTATTTATTTTATAGTACAGTACATTGATTATTGACTTCATTTTATGGATCTATGGTCTTGTTAGACAGTAAAATCCATGATAAATGGCTGTTTTAGGGGGTGTTTTTCATCGTCTAGAACAGATCAATTCACTTTACCATTACTTTCTATGGAAAAGTGCGCCTCTACTTATGTATGTTTCTAGTTAAGACCGGACCTCCGGAACAGATTATGGTTGTAAGTAGAGGTTCCACTGTATTTCATTTCATTCCCATCTTGAACGTGCTTAGGAGTTTGTCGTTCTGGCTTATGTCAGAACTATATTAGCTATTTTCCTCTTTCTCTTTTTTGACTGTTGTATCATTTCCCTCTTCTGCTGCTCCATCCCTGGTGCATTAGGTGGGCACCAGTGTCTCTGCACTTTGACTTTCAGTCAGCCTGGTTCTTATGAGACTCTCTCTGGTCGGTTCAGAGGACACTTTCCTTATTCATAACTTTCTCTAGTTCTCAGTCTTGAAATAGAGGGTTGTCCCCATCTAGTCTACAGTGCTGGTTAGTGGACCTTCTCCCCTGCTACCTGCCTCTTCTCCGGTGGCTTCAATATCTTTCGATTATCTTCTTTCTCTCCCTATTGCTACAGCAAGAGCAACCCACTTCTTTTAAACATCACCATTGACCCCATCTCCATTCTTAGTCATATTAAACTGCAATGACCTTCTTAGCCATATTTCTTTCCCCTTTATTCTATCCTTACACCGTACTCTAGGTAAGTTCATCTGATTCAGCCCCTTTCCTCCTCCACACACGCCTAATGCCTTCTGCCATGCTGCTCCCTTGCTTAGAACAACTTCTCTGACACTCATAAAGCAGGTTCTCTTCCATCCTGAAATCTTTCTGGCTGTCATGAGCCCCAAATCCAGCAACAATCAAGATACGAAGCCTGAGGATGCACAGGCACCACCAGCTATGGAACTATATCGTGTTCAGGGCTCCAAACTGACTCCTGGAGATCAGGAGACCACTGCGCCTAAGGCTCTCAGATAGGAGCCCCCAGAAGAACCTCCCAGACCACCAGGGCTTGTAGTGCCAGAGCCTGGACCTCCATGGTGCCTTGAACTGAGCCCGAGGAACCAGATGTCTCCCATCATGCACCACTGGTCCAGTAGCATTGGGAATGCACCAGGAGAGGGGGCTATGGAATGAAGGAATACATGCTCTTACTTTGTTGCCTTACTAAAGTTTAATTCCATTGAATAGAGACTTTTATACAAACAAGTGGAGGGGTCATGCTGAATCCTGCAGGGGAAATACTTGATGACCTCTGAGTTCCTTCCAGCCTCATAATTTTATGCAGGAGCAGAGGGAGGAGAAAGAAAAAAGAGAACTGACCTGTGCTGCTGTTCTCATATCATAGGAACCGCTATTCAGTGAGCCTGCTAATTCAAGCTGCTAGGAAACTCCCATGTCCTAGATACAGCATGATACATTTCCTTCTCTTTGAATGCATCAAGAACACCTTAACTTTCAGCATGAGTTCCTCTGCTCTGGGAGGCAAAAACCTGCCACAGAGTAAAACAGAAAACGTAAGCTCTCATTGTATAATAAGCTCTTCTTTCCAACACTTTTAGTGCCTTAATTTTATGCACAGGGCAGCAGTACACTGAAACTGCTGTAGTGTCATTAAACATTAAGGATCAAATTCCTGAACAAGGTTCAGATGATTAGCACTGTCCGTATCATCACCTTTATGAAGCTTCTTCTGAGCTACCAAAATTGCAATGGGTGCCTGTACCTGCCAGGTGGAGGGACTTCTGTTGATATACAATCAGGAAAGGTGGGGTGTAAATGTAATAATAGACTGAGCAATTCCATCCACTCTCCACAAGTCCATAAGTCCACTGGTGGCCACCACAGCAAATGCCTCTTAACCACCAAGCATCTGAATAGGAACTTTGTGAAAAGGGCACTGCAGATACACACAGATGTCCTTTTCAGTTGTTTACATATTCTTACGGTTGGTACATCATTCATTATGCTAATTAATTGCACTAAAATTAGAAGTATAATGAAAGGGTGAAGAATTCTTCTGGGCTTCTCAATCAGAAGAACAATTAACTCTGCTCTTCCATTTTTGAGAAATGGAAAAGCAACAGAAAAGCCTAAGGGTCTTTGACTTTTTCACATAGACTGCATTACATGGAATTTTTCCAGGGCTAGAAATTAAGCATTGCTCATAGACTGCCCACTCCCTCGCACTTGCCACAGATGCAAACTGTGATTCCAGGAACAAAACTAGATACAAGTGACGAAACATCAGACATCAGTTTTCTAATGGGCATTATTTTGGCCTGTCTCCAATTCCATCAGCTGCCCCCTCGACCATCATCACTTAATGTCATGTCTGGATTCAGTTTGAGCGTGTTTGCTTGCATCCATTTGACCACAGCAATCAGAAACTGGGCAACACCAATCTCACAACCTCTGAGCAATCTCTCTCAGCGGCTTTGATTGTTGTTGGCATCTGTCTGCCTTGATAGACAATGGAGTGTGCCTCCAGGGGTGAAGTCAAACCACTGCATTAGCAGCACAAGAGTGACCTCTGCAGTGCGCAAGCCTGGGCAGTGTGGAGGTCCTGGGCTGCCCAGACAACAAGACCCCTCTCTCAGCCTCGCTGATGTGGTCCAAAGGAAAGCAGAGCAATGTGTTTGGCACCAACTTGGCTGCAGGAGTTGCCAGAAGGTGGTGCCATCCAACTGTCTTAGGGACTCTACTAGTTTACTCCATCTGTAAATGTGGTATCAATTAAAGCCAGCCCATTCTGACAGTTATCTCCTGTTGACTCACTTGGAACCTATTACATTGTAGAGAAGGAGAACAGATTACCTAATCTGAACTTTATTGAAACCTGTGGGAAGATTCTTATTAAGGCCAGAAGTCAAACCAAGCATACTTTTCAGCTAACATGTACACTAACACATAGGAAACTGGCTGATCCTATTAGCTAACTGTAGCCCTAAAGGAAGCCTTGGCATTTATTCTCCATCTCCTCCCATCATTCTGCATCATGAAAGGTCTTCACTTCTTGCCGACTCAAGTGCCTTGGTTACTAGATTTCATTTTGGAGCGGAAAGGAATGAAATGTGTGTCAGTTTACCGAGAAAGGATTCACGCCTTAATCAATGCTGTTCAGATGTGGACAAGTCGTGGTCAAGGCTTCCTGCTCACTAGAGATTTATGTGATGGGATAGATTAAGCTGGAAATTGCCTTCTCTGGGCTTTTAAACACAAAGGTATGACACATGAATAAAGGCACACTGGAAATGTCTGTTTCAGAAAGCTCTTTGCAGTCTGTGTCCATGCAGGTTGGAATATATTAAGATGTCATGCTGATGGAAATGTTCTAAACCCCAACATGTGGTTGTCAGGTAGAAATTGCAGCAGGAATACGAATATGCCACAAATGACCAAGAAATCTGCTTCAGGGAGACCTTCAGAAAACAGAAGACTGCCTCTGCTGTTTCCACATTCTCTTCTCTCTCCAAAATGGATAATGGTTTTAAGGGTCCATTGGGCTCTCTTGTAAACGATCATAGTCTTCTATAGGGGCCTGCTGCAGTCCTGATGTGTTTCTTGTCATTCCAGACACACCTTATCTCTGTCTTAAAGCGGAGCAAATGATTGAATTGTTAGGTTTCTTCCAGACAGCTGGACCAGTCTCAAAATGAAAGATCACAATCGCATTCACATGCACAGCTTGCACTATTGCTCTTCAGCATACTGTTTATTGGATCTCTGGTGTCATAAACATATTGCTTTACTGTCTTGAGTAAAACATCGCACGGGGGGGGGTGAGGGAGGCACCTGAAACTCCCAAATAGAGCGTCCTTCCCTGCTCAGCACCTCCTCGAACACCATTTCTCCTCAAGGTATTTTACATGATTTCCCCCTGAGTGGACTCTGAAACAAGCATGGCTCACAAGAAAATGGCTGTGGGGAAGACTTATGCCGGCAGGAGAGAATATGTGGGCATGAGAGAGGCGAATGCATGAATCCAAACTCACGTCTGTCGAGGTGACATGTAATTTGGCCCTTAACGATCACCATTATGAATATATGTGTGGTGGTGATGCACCACTAGTTCACCAAGAGATCTTTGAAATCAGAATTTTGTCACAACAGTGGGAGGAATAACTCTATTCAATTGGCCATGGTGGCTCAGTTGTAGTCATAATGTCTATTCAGACAAAGGGTCATAGCTCCGTGGTAGAGCATCTGTTCTGCATGAGGAAAAGCCCAGGTTTAATCCCTGGCATCTCCAGGCAGGGATAGGGATGAACACTGAAGGAATGGGTTTCCCAAACCCAAAACTGACTGTGCAGGCAGTTTGAAACTGCACCAATATCCCTATTTTTCCCTTAGCTAAAATGCTTTAACTTGAGCTCTTGAGCCAAAACCCAGCTGTATAAACAAGTGCTCAAAGCTCTCTCCCTTCTCAGTCCATGAAGGCCAGTAATGACGGATGGCTTTGTCCATTCCAAAGTGGAACAGGGATGACACTCTAGGCCTTATCTTACATCCTGACCACAAAGACCACAAAGACGCACAGACCTAGTCCGGGAACAGCGCCAGAGTGTGTTCTTGGAGTTGGTGACCTCTTGCTCCAAGATAAGAGTATAAGAACAGGAATACCCTTTTATGGTCAGAAGTACAGGAAGGAATACCCTTTTATGGTTAAGAATACCAGAGCAGGAACATCTGTGATGTCAACCTGCGTGTATAGGCTGACGTGGTTGGATTCCTGGGGAAGGAGGGAGAGGGTGCCTGGAGGATATATATACTGCATGAAATTTCTCATTTCTTTGGACTTGCTGTGGACTGACCACGCAAGTGCCTTTCTGCTGTGCCGGAGAGCAGAAATAAAGAACTCTTTCTCTGAACCAACCCTCGGTGTCATTTGACTTCCTTCCTCATGTCCGGGAGCAACGCAAACCCAATCAGTGAACTCCAATAAGGATACAACACTGCTTGAAACCCTGGAGAGCAGCTACCAGTCAGTGTAGACCAGACTGAGCCAAATGGGCCAATGGTCTGGTTCTGCACAAGGGCATTGCATAAGGGCTAGTGGCTTCACTAACACTTCCTTGCTTCCCTTTCTGATTGTCAGTCCAATAACTATTTGAGTCAGTCCAATAACTATTTTAAGACAAAACAGATGGGGGGGGAAGGAAAATAATAGCACACTAGAGGTCTTTGCAGCAAGTTGGGGATGAAAAACAAATATGCCATTAATTCCGTACCGCTCAATCAATTTCCTTCTGAAATTGCAAAGCATTGTCACAATCGTTTTCCTTTCTCCTCCCCTGCATGTCTCCGAGAACAACGAAAAGTGGTGTGTGCGCGCGCAGAAACGGAGTCCTGTTTACGCAGAAAATAAAATACCTGACCCAATGAAGGAAATGGTGGAGCTGCCATCTGAAGCCCTTCCTATAATCTTGAAGCAAAAGGTCACCAACCCACTTTAAATTCTTTAATTGCAATGCTTCAGCCGACAGACATTTCTTTGGAAACACAGGGAGCGTTGGTTCCTTTATTGCAAATGGAGCCCTATGCTGTCTACTCAGAAGGAAGTCCCACTGTTTTCAATGGAGCTTACTCCCAGGTAACTGGGTAAAGACTGGGCACCTTTATACTGCAATCCTAAGCATTTTTTACTCGGAAGTAAGTTCCACTGAGTTTTCTTTGACAGGGACTCGGGGCAGCTTACAGCTAATTTATTTATTTCATTCCATTTATCTGTGGAATGTGTTGTACATTATCCCTTCCCTCATGCATTTTTTTCTTTACAACAGTCCTGTGAGGCAGGTTCAGCGGAGAGGTTGCAGTTGGCTCGAGGTGACAGGTGTACATGACATCAAATGCAGAAGAAACTTCTTCATGTGGAATAAAGGTAAAGGACCCCTGACAGTTAAGTCCAGTTGCGAACGACTCTGGGGTTGCGGCGCTCATCTCGCTTTCCTGGCCGAGGGAGCCGGCATTTGTCCACAGACAGCTTCTGGGTCATGTGGCCAGCATGACTAAACTGCTTCTGGCGAACCAGAGCAGCGCACGGAAAAGCCATTTACCTTCCCGCCGGAGCAGTAACTATTTATCTACTTGCACTTTGACATGCTTTCGAACTGCTAGGTTGGCAGGAGCTGAGACAGAGCAATGGGAGCTCACCCCATTGCGGGGATTCGAACCGCCAACCTTCTGATCAGCAAGTCCTAGGCTCTGTGGTTTAGACCTTTGATGTGGAATAGGATGTCCCTATTTTCATCGGAGAAATGTTGGAGGGTATGCTATATCCTGTTCCTCCACTGTAAACTTATCAGGCCAGGCAGAGAATGGGAAGTGGCACTCATCCTGATGCTCGGCAGAGTGGAGGCATCTGGTGGGGCCCAGGGGCATTCTGGTTGGTAAAAATGGCAATGGCTGAGGTGAGGATGCCTGCATCAGCCCTGGTAAGCCCTCATAGTCCAAAGAGCACTGGGATTTGCCCTGCCATCCCAGCCTTACTTCTTCCTCTTGCCCAAAATGTGTCCACTTTGACAACACCCCAGATATGGTACAATTAGGACAGGCAGGTTAGAGACAAAATGAAATCATGAACTGGGGGTGGGGGGAATCTTTATATAATCTAAGGAACTACAAGACGTGAAGTTCTGTTTTCCATTATTTTGCTTGCCTGAAATGAATGAGTTAAGCCAGAGTTTCTTTTGGCGGAAGGCGGGGAGGGAGCAGGTTCTCTTAATGATATTTCTGGAAGATGCCACCCTGTGTAACACACTAACCTTTAAAATCCGCACACTTCCTTGTGGGCTAGTAATGAGCCATTGACCAGCGATCGCCCTTTTCCACACTTTGCTTTTCAGCATGATTTTGACGGTGGTTGTTCATTAAAGCCATTACATTATTTACAGCTTGTTCATTGACAGTCAGCTCCCTACGGTGACATGAAAAATAATACAATTTCCTGCAGCGCCTAAGAAGCTGGGAGACTTTAAAAATGCATAAAGTCCATTGAAATTCCCCAGAAGGACTGGGTTAAGAAATAAACAAATCTCTGCAGAATTTATAAAACGGCATCCTCTGCCTTTGATCTGCATACATCAGAATTCCCCTGTTGCTACAATACAAGCATGCAGAACATCCACGGTCAGCAGTTCTCCACAGACAAATCTGGGGACATAAATCTACAATCGTTCTCTCAAAGCTGGTATATTTGAGGCTTTACTGACACATCATCTCCTCCACCAATATTAAGCTCTCCCGTCCAATCTTCATTTGCTGGTTTTCTCCTTCCGCACACCTGCTCTCCTTTTCAAGTCGATATCAAAGGCTTCATTTTGTGTGATGTGCTAATGCCAGAAAAAGAAGTATCTGCTTTACAAATCTCATTGTTTTTCATAATGATGAACTGGGCTTTGGAGTATATGTACTAAAAGAACATTTTGCTTCCATAGACAAGGATGCTGTGCATCCCCCTTTTTTTGTTGGGGGGGGGCTTTGTCCCTCGACACAAATGCTGTTTCAAGGACAATTAGGACTCTGGCTTTGTTTCTGGCTTCTGTTACTTTTAATACCCAATTTGTCTGTGGTTGTGTTTTATAATATTTCTGTTCTTTGAAGCAGTCTGAATCAGTTGGAAATGACGATTATTAATGCAGTGCAGAGCAAATCTTTTAAAGCAAAGGTAAAGAGCATGGGAGGGACGCGGGTGGTGCTGTGGGTTAAACCACAGAGCCTAGGGCTTGCCGATCAGAAGGTCGGCGGTTCGAATCCCCGTGACGGGGTGGGCTCCCGTTGCTCGGTCCCAGCTCCTGCCAACCTAGCAGTTCAAAAGCACATTAAAGTGCAAGTAGATAAATAGGTACCGCTCCGGCGGGAAGGTAAACGGCGTTTCTGTGCGCTGCTCTGGTTCGCCAGAAGTGGCTTTGTCATGCTGGCCACATGACCCGGAAGCTGTATGCCAGCTCCCTCGGCCAATAAAGCGAGATGAGCGCCGCAACCCCAGAGTCGTCCACGACTGGACCTAATAGTCAGGGGTCCCTTTACCTTAAAGAGCATGGGAAGAACTGTTATTTGGGTCCCTGTGCTATGCCAACCTACCTCTTTAAAGAGCAGGTGCCATGAAGCATTGAAAGAAGGACTGTATCGAAATGAGTGTGTGCTCAGAGAGGAGGCTGCAGAATCTATCCAATTCCAGCCCAGTTAGAAGGCTGGTCCGCCATCACCCTAGGTGTGACAGAAATGGTCCGGACATACTTTCTCTGCCTTTAAAACAAAGGCTTCGGAGAACGCAGCAAACGAGCATTCAAACCACAGCCACCGACCCAGAACGTGAAGTTCACCCCCTCCCACTCTCTCTGTATCTACCTGCACTGCTGATTTAGTTAGGCACAGGTTACACCACCAGAGTTAGGAGCTGCTGCCAAAAGCAGAAGCTGTGTGAGCTTGCTGTCCCTGCTCTTTTACGTGAAACAGCAATGCTCAGCAGAGCCAGTGTGGTGTAGTGGTTAAGAGCGGTAGTCTTGTAATCTGGTGAACCGGCTTCGCTTCCCTGCTCCTCCACATGCAGCTGCTGGGTGACCTTGGGCTAGTTACACTTCTTTGAAGTCTCTCAGCCTCACTCACCTCACAGAGTGTTTGTTGTGTGGGAGGAAGGAAAAGGAGAATGTTAACAGCTTTGAGACTCCATAGGGTAGTGATAAAGCGGGATATCAAGTCCAAACTCTTCTTTAATGTGAAGTGCAGAAGAAGACTTAGGACAAAACTACCATATTTTTCGCTCTATAAGATGCACCAGACCACAAGACGCACCTAGTTTTTGGAGGAGGAAAAAAATATTCTGAATCTCAGAAGCCAGAACAGCAAGAGGGATCACTGCACAGTGAAAGCAGCGATCCCTCTTGCTGTTCTGGTTCTGGGATAGCTGCGCAGCCTACATTCGCTCCATAAGACGCACACACATTTTCCCCTTACTGTTTAGGAGGGAAAAAGTGAGTCTTTATAGAGCAAAAAATATGGTAGATGTAACCACAGTCCAAGGCAGATCCATGCATTTAAATACGGATCTTTTTCCAATCATGTAGAAAGAGTGGGGTGAGCAGGGGAAATGGGCTCAATGGACTACCTTCCTATAGTCTGTTACAGTCTGTCGCCCTGAGCAGTTTGATCATTAGGGCAACTCCAGCCTGCCAGTCAGAGGCGCCGAGTTGCGCCCAACATTGAGGGGGACCTCACACACACACGTCACACACATGCGACACCATACTGCGGCACCAGTGTGCTGGACTCCTCAGAGGTTCATGCCAGAATGCCAAAGATCCAGCCCTCCAGCACAACCCTGCTGACAAGCACAGTGCGCCTTGGATCTTCGCGCATCATGTGCGCATCTGGAGGAGGCCAACGGTTTGGGAAGGCCAATGGTTGGGTGGAGGCTGAGCACAAAGCCCGCGTCCACGCTTGCTCTCCTCTGCCCCCTCAACATTTAGGGGGCCCGGCCCCTGGCCCCCAGATATTGAGGGAGCCGAAGACCTCTCAGCCCCCTGTAGTTGGCATGCCTGCTGCCAGAATTTTGCTGGAGGGGTTCAAGCACATACCAGGAGATCCTGGAGCAGGAATTGACTGTTTATTTCTTCCCCATCCCACAAAATGAAGCACTTTGTTCTGGAATGGGACAGATATCAGGGCACCGTATGTCTCCAGCCCACCCCCAGCCCCCCAAAAAGTCCAATTCACATTGTTCTAGGCATAGCTGGAAGGTTGGGTTTATGATTACCCAACCCACCAACACACTTTGGCAGTAAAAAAGAACCCCAAAAAAGCAGTTTGCATTTTTTCATGGATCGATAATAAAAAGTAACAGACATTAACAAGATGGCAGAAAAACCAACCATTTATTATAATGTTATAATAAAAATGCAGTGATGTTATTACAAAAATAATATGTGGATCTGATGCGTATCTTTTTGTTAAATACAATGAAAGCTGTTTCCTGGTTATATTAATAAATAGCATTATTTATTAAGATGATGACCGCAGTTTCGTTTGGCTTAAACAATAGGGAGCAAAACAAGTGAGACTAAGGTTAACAAAAATTATGAATGTTAATGGTGGTTAATGGCTAACATAATCAACAGGGAATCAATGAGACATACGATAAAGTGAATACACATTTCAGTTGCACCCAGTTAGCAAACAGTTAAGATCAAACATTGATGGTGGTGGTAGCTGACTAAATTGCATTGGAACAAATGTCGCCATATTTTTTTTTAAAAAAAATTAAGAATATCTAAATAACTGTATCAGGAACATCTGAAGAAAGTCACTGCAAGCAAGACCACTTTACAAACTGAGTTTACAAGCAGACTATGGTCCAGCTTGATACCCAGTCTGCTTCTCCTGAAATCTGCTGCCATCGCTAATCAGCATCTCACTTCATCTCCAGATCACACAAAATGTATATACAAATACAGGGAAAGAAAAGACTGGCCTTCAAGCTTCCTTTGGAACCTTATGCTGCATCATATCACACTGAATTTTTGCACTCAGGGAACACCAAGCAGGACTGGGTTTTGCATTTGGTCACAGTTCGGAACTGGTCTATTACTCATCTGTGCAATAGCTGTGTTTTCCAAATGCAAAAGGTGTGTGCATATTATTTATGCCTAAATCCTTTTGGTTCCGGTAAGATTTATGCTTTGATAAGGAATGTGGGAGTCAGATTTTTTCAGGTGGAAGTTCTCGCCCTGGGACGTATGATGCAAATATTTCGTTAAAGGTTGCAACAGCCAAATATTCAGAACAAGATCAGATATCTGATAGACTGCAAAAGAGTACTGTTTACCTTCTTTTAAGCTGCTTTTTAATTTATTTATTTTAATTTTAATTTACTTTTTAAAAAATTTAAAATTGTTTTTAACTGTTTTTATGTGTTTGTGGAGGGTATTTGTCTGTCTCTGTTTATATTTTGATTATGTGTTTTGTGTTTTTATATTGTAATTTTATCTTGTGAAATGCCCTGAGACCTGCAGGTATAGGGTGGTATTGCATGGTCCTTAGTGGCAAAAAAATGTTTTTTCTTCAAATAATATGAAAGGAAAGATTGCACTTAATGGGAGTAAATCCCACTGAATTCAGCGAGACTGAGCAAACAAACCTGAGATTTGGGATCACAAGTACTTCTAGCTGGCTGTGTCTGACAGGAACATTTTGGCCCCAGCTCCCTGTCAAATGTGATGCATCATGGCAAATGCACCTTTGCTACCACATAAATGGCCCACAGATTCTCCTGATCCCTGAACATCAATCTTGCAGAAACCTATGAAAGAGCCATAAACGAACTGTATGTGCCCGTGCTGGTGCCCGTGTCCTTTCGTTAATGAAAGGGGAATCCTGATGTTCCTTCTCCATGTCAGTTATTAACTGCAAGCGCATTTCAGCTTCACAAATCAGAGCCGGGAGTTCATTTACTTTGGCAAATATTTACTAGATACCAGAAACATCTGGGAAATTACTCAGATTCTGGGGAAGCTCCACCCACAGGGCAATGAGAACACTTATCCCTGGCATCATCCATTTGCATCGTGCCAGGGAGCCAGCTGCCAGCTGCCCCCTTTTATTTCTCTGACCATCTGTTTTGCGGATCTTAATGGGATAGGAAACCTTTTGCAGTTGGTATGCACCTGCAGAGAGAGAGACGTCAAACTGTTTTTGACATCTACGCGTTTTTGACATTCACCCTTCTAATGCCAAAATAATGTCCAAAGTAGACGGGATGACAGGAGCAGAGGGATCTCCCAAATGTTGGGGGAAGTGGACAGCAGGAGTACAAAGACAGTGGGGTTGGGTGGGGGTCACGGCCTCTGAGGGGAGGACAATGTCTCCATAGGCAGGAGAGCATCTCTGGGGCAGCACAGGTTGCACCTGTTAAACTGCAGAGTCCTCCACAAATGTTTCATTCAATTCATATAGCTTGACAGGGGATGGAAGCCGGTTTTGATCTTTAGTTCACGGCACTGAACAAAAGAAAAGGCTAGAGAACTTGACAAGAGACACCTAGCAAAATAGAGAGTTTTGCTTATGAAGAATATTTGTACTGGCTGGGAAATGTGTGTCTTGATTAAGTTTAGGCAATTGGTGTGGCGATCACACAGGGTCCCCGGACATTTCACCATCTATTGATCCCTGTGCCACCATTTTATTTCTCGCTGCCACCACCCAGGCCCTACCTGGTACAATACTGAGTCCAGTCAGGTTTAAATTGGCACATAAACTTCTGTTTATTTATTGCAGTTTAACAAGCGTGTGGTTTCATAAACAGTATCGGTCATTTACAATCATAGGGTACCTATCCAGACCTGTAACTTCTGCTACCTGCTCTCACTCACCAAACCACCTCTCAGATATTTACTTGTCTTCCTAGTTCCTAACTGTTCCTGACCCAGCTTATTTCGCTATACTAACTCAACCTACCCACAGACTCTATCCC